ACTTACTGCCGGCAATGCGAACCAGACTCTGACACCGGTCGTACAAGGACCTGACAGCCCTCATCAAAGGGCCCGGTATCCCATAATCTCAGAGAACCCCTCACAAGGCCCCCCTTGGGACACGGTCGAACGCCTTCTCCAGGTCCACAAAACAGAGCAGAAGTTGCCTTCCACAGCAATTATTTTTAGTTAGCATATAGCTAAAATCTAACCATGGTTATATAATAGCAGCTGCATTCTGACGTGATAAGCTGTATGTTTTATATTCAGTTAACGTATGATCTGATTAGTCGAATAATCGAATAAATAATCGTTTGTGGCAGCCCTAATTATAAGTTAAAAATATTTTGATTTTAAGACGAGGAATAAGCTTTTTTATGTTAAGGGCAAATTGCTCTAATCCAGGTGAGTTTTGGTTTTGATACGGGTCTGTTCCTTGTTTTATAGCCTCAGAACGAGCACATTGAGTTGCACCGCAAGCGGCATGGCTACCGCCTGGACCATCATGAAAAGAAAAGGAAAAAGGAAAGCAGAGAGGCTCACGAGCGCTCCCACAAAGCCAGGAAGATGATCGGTTTGAAGGCCAAACTGTACCACAAACAGAGATACGCCGAGAAGATCCAGATGAAGAAAACGTGAGTACGAAGGGAGAAAAATGTTGTGATCTTTGCTGTTTTAATGAACGCTCCATACTCATATGAACAAAATCTTGTTTATAGCATCAAAATGCACGAACAGAGAAACACCAAGCAGAAGAATGATGACAAAACTCCTCAAGGTGCAGTTCCAGCGTATCTGTTGGACAGAGAGGGACAATCTCGTGCAAAAGTTCTTTCTAACATGATCAAACAGAAGAGGAAAGAGAAGGCTGTAAGTGTCAGCTATTTGTAGTTCATGGGGTTGAACCAGAAATGAGGAAACAACACTTTTTTTTGTTGTTTTTGTTTAAATACAAACATGGGATGTTGTGTGCAGGGAAAATGGGAGGTGCCCCTACCAAAGGTTCGAGCTCAAGGAGAGACAGAAGTGTTGAAAGTCATCAAAACTGGGAAGAGGCAGAAGAAAGCCTGGAAGAGGATGGTCACAAAAGTCTGCTTCGTTGGAGATGGTTTCACAAGGAAACCTCCCAAATATGAGCGTTTCATCAGGCCCATGGTGAGGCCACACGGACATTGTTTTGATGTTTTGAATCCAACCCCAGAATAAACACTTGGTTGTCTTTTTTTTTTTTTTTTTTT